ATCTGTCACAAAAGGAAATGTGTGTGATGGGAAGAGTCATATCAGGCTTAGGATGCTACCGCTGTTTGGATCAGTATTGCTACATGTGATGAAATGCACCACCGCAATCAAGGCACTGAAAACAAAGGCAATGAAATCTCATAAGTTTCGATTCTAATGTCTTGCAACATTTAGCATATAATCTTGGGTGGAGTCAGCCATGTCTGCCAAGAAGCATAGTCATATGGGCCAGAAAAATGAGTGCCCGAGGTTGGCTGGCATTGTAGTCCCTCACTACAGCCAAGGAACTGCAGTGCTTCTGGGCCTGTTAGTGCTGCTTCTGTGGAATAACCTGGCTCCAGGGCCAATAGAAGGGACAGCCCAGGCTGGCTGATTAGCTGGAGACGTGTCTTCACCAGCTGCAGGTGAAAGCACTAGTGATCTGAAGTTGTGACCGTGTTTGCAGCAGCCATGTGTAACCAGTAAAGGCACACAGAGCTGGCTTTCCCTGGGGACTTCAACAGATAATGTTGGGTTTCTACCTATTGGGCCAACTCTGGCCTATCTTTCCCTGTTCTGCTGTGAATTATGGTCGGGAATTGGTTATTGCTCAGTTAGCAAATATCCCTGCATTAGTGCTGTAATACCATTACATAAACATAGATAATTACAATGACACTGTGTTTGCCAAATAGCTGTGATTATTCATGTCACCATTTCCAGAACCAAACAGTGCCCCAAAGCAACTGGAGAAAAAGGAATACAGTAGCAGCTAACAGGAAAAACATGATGAAAGGTTGGGGAACATTTAAGAAGATTAAATAAATGTTTCAACCTATCCAAAGCACTAATTTAACATAGACATTGAAATGAGTAAACAATGAATATTTCCAGTAGCCATTGCAGCAATGCACCAGGACATATTAATTATTCTTACTGCTTTTGATTTTAAATAAAAGTAAAAACTTTAAAATGTTTCATGGAAAATATAATTGTCACTATCTCTTCTGCTTAATCAATGATATTTCTCTTAGGAACATTTATTATGGTAAAGGTCATTTTTCCTTATTGGTAACTTATTTTCAATGGAAATTTTTAAAAAATCAAATAAAACAGAGCTCTGCTTTCTGTGCAATTATACCGCTGATTGGTTTGGGGTTTTTTTCTCCCTGAGTAGGGAGGAAAAAAGATATGAATTCTCATGATGTTGGGATCAGTAAGAAGCCCTGAATCTGTTCAAAGTTATGTTTGCTCCTGAAAAATTAGGCTAATTCAGTTTGTTTGCAAGGTCTAGTTATTTATTTCATTATTTATTTCATTTCCCAATGAGAGCATGCAACATTTTGTTTGCTATTTTGAAATTGGACTCCCCCCCATCCCTCAACAAGTGAGATCCAGAAAGACTGGAGCTAGCTATCAACAAATGTTGAGGAGTGCCTTCTGGATATCAAAAATGGAAATGTATTTAACACATATAATGATCAGCAGTGGACAATGCAGAAATTGTATCACAATGGAGTGTGAGGGAAATTTCAGAATGAACTTGCAGTGCAATAGCTCATGATCTAGATATCACCATGCACATTTTAATAAAAAAAAGTTATCGTCCTATATTTCAAAAGCCAATGTTAGTTTAGTCTGATATTTATTTATATTAGGCAGCTAGAGATTGGAAAACGGAATTTGAAAAGCATGAACTTTTCTCCAGAGAAAGGACCTTGAAGGTTGTTCTTATTAGGGAAAGACAGGAGAATTCTTTTCAGTTAAAAAAATATTGGCACTTCACATTTGGAGAATGAATCCAGTCCAAAGGTTGCCTCCTTCGCCCTTGCTCCCTCCCCATACCTTGTCTAAGGAGAATATGAAAAAAATCTAGTTCAAGAGTTTTCCCGATTTTCAGTTTCAAAAGAGAATGATAGGATGGTAATCAAGAGTGAAGAATGGCCTTGATTGAGTCTAACCACTGGCCAGTCTAGCCAAGAAGGCTCTTCATGGTGTATGGCCAGTCCTCCAGCATTATCTCACTATGTCATCTTCTACATGCAAACCATAGATCTGTAATAGGACTCAGCTGAGGTAAATAAAGAACAAAATTTATTTTCTAAAAAATAGTTGAAAGCTTTAAAAGTTTACTGGCTAGTCAGATGTATGAATGATTTAAAAAACAAAACTTTAAATTCTATATACGAAACTCATGTCAACCGAATTAGACTTTCCTACTGTTTACCCTTGTCTGACTGGCTAGTGCCTTCCAAGTTCTCAGATACTAACTTGCTACCTGAGATAGAGGCTACAAGCTTATTTGGTGTTGTAGGGTTACAATGCTACACGTGCATTTTTGAAAATAGGCCTACCATACCTGGGCTGCATAATCACTTGCTGGTGATCACTAGCTGGTAACCAAGGGTTAGAGTTGTCTGCAACTTTTTGCTGCCATTTAATGTGTGCTGGCTTGCTTGCATCCTACATAAGGTAGGCCAAGTCCTAAAAGTATTTTTAAATCTGCAGAAACGTTTTCTAGGTAAATATAGATAGAATCAAATGGTTAATTTATTATCAGCTGTCAGTTTCCAGTTTATTCTTTTAGAAGTTAATTCCTGGCACATCAATTTGGTGAAGCTAGATATAGCTGGCTGTCGCCATCTTATTGAATCCCCAGATAGTAGAAACTGCATTCATCTCATTGTCCAAAGAAAAACTTTTAAATAAATGTTAAAAAGTAATGTTGAATCTGTTTTTCTATCTAAAAACAAAACAAAAAAAACCTTCTGGCAATTCTATCCTTATCTTGTCTGTTATTCTTGATGGATAAAATGCAAAAGCTTTCTTGAATTGTGTGAAACTAATCAATTCTCCATCACCTCTAGCTGATCCAGATGAATGCTTGAGAATATGTTTTCTAATCAGGAGGGGAATGGCCTTAACAAGAATTTGGCAATCAGCAGTAGTAAGTGGTATTGGCCTGCCTTACAGCTGCCACCAAAGATTTCCTGTTTACTTTTTCAAGAATTGTTGTAATTAATGTCTCTCTCATTTCTTTGGCGAGGCAGCTCTTACTGAAGACTCCTTGAAATGTCTCTTGCACACAGTAGACCTCAGCAGATTCTAGAAGGATTTACTAAAGCTTGCAAATCCCAAAATTTTAAGACTTCTCTTCACACTCAAATTACTTTTTGTTTTTAATTATGCAAAGCATTGCCATGATGAAACTGCACAAATATACCCACATACCCACACCGCTTTAGAAAAAAAGAAAGAAAAAGGTCTTGACTATTCTTCAGGTGACACCTGTCTTTAATTCTGTGACACTGCAGGTATCTGCAATCCAGTGTGTATGCATGGTGGGCGATGCAGCAGGCCCAATGTTTGTGACTGTCCGTTTGGCTGGAAAGGAAAATGTTGTAGTATACGTGAGTCTGAATCCCTTTTGATTCAAATATGCTATTTATTGATCATTCAAGTGTGCCAGAATGAATTGTAATCTGTTTCAATGCTAATTATTTAGTTCTGCTGTTTCGGGACTTTGAACAGTTTTATATTTTGGTCATTCAAATTAATACAACATTCTATGCTTCCCAGTGTAAAGATAAAAGTCCTTCCTTTCTGTCTGGCAAAGCTGATGGTCTGTTAGGCTATTATTATTTTATTATTATTATTATTATTATTACAGAAATTCTTGTTTTTATAAATAGTATTAAATAAGAAATATTAATTTTTAGTTTTACTAAAAGCAGATATTTTGTAAGATTTTATAAAAGATAGACATTCCAAACTATTTAAAGACTAGTAAAATATACTATCTGTACTGATATATTTGCAAGGCCATTATTGGCACATTAGTTTGGTGCATCAATTCTGAGGTTGAAATCAAACAGTAACAATAATTTTAACACTATCAAGCCTCATCACAGTTAACTACATTAAAAATAAAATAAAATCCAAGTAAGCCAGCAGATTTGGAAATTGTGGAAATATTTTTTTTCATTAGGGGTTATTTGTTATTACAATGTTAACACATAAGCAAAATGAATTTATAGTCAGGATAGCACAGTTTTATAGGAGACTTTATATGTTGGCTTGATCCTGGGGTTGGCTTCCAGATAGCTGATAGATGAAGTTGCATCTCAGGTTCCCAAACATTAAGTGTGCCCATGTAAGCTGCAGCAAATTAACAAGGATTTCCTATTTTACCAACCACAAAAACAAGGGAAGGGAGTTTTAGGTCACTTGATCATTGTTGTTGTTGTTTTACTCAGAAACCTGGGCTCTGAGCATAGACATTAAACTGCTGCCACTATTTTAAAACAAAAAGCTTTTTTTTTTAGTCTATCATTGGATATCGCCATTATAATAGACAACAGTTGAGTATCTCAGGAAAAGACAACAAATGCGTAATAGATTTTCATCTAGTGCATCTGTTCATTTCTGCGTACTGCTTTGGAAACTGATCTGAACAAGATGATGGTAGGGAGTTATACATATACGTAAATCTCCATACTAGGCTGCAGACCCCCAAGCAGCTCAACAATACCTATTGTGACTTGGTGTCCTGCTCTTGGTATAATATGCCTATGAGTAGCACCGCTCCCTCTCAATCCAAGAGCCATTTAATGAAACAAAGACTCCCATATGTCTGAATATGAGCATTCCTGAGTTTTCGGGGGGGGGGGGGTGTTGTTCTTTTTGTTTTTTGACCTTCACCTCGGCCCTTTAAGCTGCTAGCAGCTGGCTTGATAATGAATTTTTGATGATTTCTCAGCCAGGGAAGGAGGAAATCATGTACTGAATTGAGACCTAGTAGTATTGCATACGCAAATGATGATTTAAAAAAATCTTAAGCAACTGCCCTTGCCTAAAAGATTGTTTACATGGTAAACAAGGCTACTTTGCAACAACTCTGCCACTCAGCATCCTTCAAAGGGCACCGATCTGATTAAAACACTATTTAATATCCCCATGTTTACTCTGAAATTAATGGGTTACTCTGTTAATCACTCAATCAATTAAGGATTTCAGACCTAATAGAAAATGAAAATTTAATGACTAGGGAATCTGCCTTTGGAGCAATTCTGTGATGAAACTAGAAGTCAGAGTGGCAGAGATTAAGGGGGAACTTTCTAATCATGGACATTTCAGAATGCTAATTGCCTCATGAAGAATACTCATTAAACTCTTTTGAGATCAAGCTATTTTGAAAATAATTGTAGGAAGCTAACATGACATGTCACTCAGTAAAGTGACTTAAAACTCATGGGACATCATAAAGATCTTATTTCCCTCTCTTCACTTTTTTTTTTTTTAGCTGTGTGTCTACCCAGCTGCATGAATGGAGGTGAATGTATAGGACCTAATGTTTGCCAGTGCTCAGAAGGATGGGCAGGCCTCTTATGCCAGATTCGTAAGCAGTTTTTGAATATAATTGTCTTTTCTCTTTGCTTTTGTCTCTGTTTAAAAATACATACACTTCTAACTATGGATGAATATAGTTTTGCTTTCCTCCATATTATTTAAAAAGAAAATAGAGTTATACTCATATTGTTTATGAAAAAAATGCAAATATGGATAAGTTAAAAAAAAATGATATAGAACAAACCAGATTCAACAGGTACCACCATTTCCAGAATGAAGAGGACTATGTTATTTTGCCTTGCAGCTGTTAAAGATGAGGAGCCAGATAGAAAAAAAAGTGGCAATCCCAGCTCAGTGTCATAAATGTGATTAATTAGATTAGGTTTAAAATTCAGCTGTTCAAGAGATATGCATTCAAAACCTTTTGCCATGATGAATGAATTTATCTGCTTCACCTTGTCCCATATCATCATCATGATCATGATCAATCATCGTCATCATCTCTCATTGTAAACTACTTCAAGTTTTCTTCTAACGGGAAACAGTGTGGAAATGTTTTAAATTAACCCATAAATAAATAAGATACTTTATATCTTGTTTCTGGAATAATGTTCAAATTTTGATAAGTTCTTGTCAAAAAAATGAATTGCACAGAATTCTTACCTTTCTCCTTTCCAATTAATTATTAATAAATAAGAAAAATATTAGGATGTGTAAGAATTGTTTGGGATCCACATTTTTAAGCAAATGGGATTGCTCCATACTACCCAGAAAGTTGTTTTTTGATTGCACACTTCTCTAACTTTTACAAGAGGGTTCTCAACCTATATATATATAAGTAATATATTGAATATATATAAGTAATATATTGAATGTGTGTTTTAGGTAAAATGTACACACTATGTATCTTATGTAAATCTAAAAATTGATGATCTAAATATATATATATATTCTCTTGTCAGTAGCATGCTATCTAAAAAAAAAATGATAATGAAGAAATGGAATGGATTTATAAGAAAATAGATGACCTTGTGGTTAATCCGTTTAAAAAAGAAACACGGTAAAGACCTGGATATTCTATTGAAAGAGAATACATTGACTTCATAACATAGGTTATATGGGAAATATGTTCCTAATTAACCATAGTTTCTCCAATATACATCTGCCCTTTGTCAGCTTGATAGGAACCATAAAGTGATTCTGGCTTTTTGGTTTTTGCACTCAATATTTGCTTGAGAAGTTTGAGACATTTGTTTGAAATGAAAGCTATCTTTTTATGCATCTACAGAATTTCAGAATGTTAAATTATGCCATGTTAGTCTTATTTAGATGATCATCAGTGAATATACAAGTGAGCAGATAAGATTAGGATTGGCAGGCACAACCTCTGTTCTTTGCATTTTTGGTTGGTCACTTGAACCCATTATAGAGGACCACAGACTATGAATTTCTTCAGATGTTCACATGGATCAACTTGTTTTCTTTATCTATAGAGAATCATTCAGTTGGTTATGCATATCCAACTGATAAATAAATAAATATCTCCTTGTTGAAGGGAGTCCCCATGGAATGGCTTGGATTGGGGTGGGTCCTGGGCTAATGATTGGCAGAATTCACTTAACGACTGCAGGGAATGCCAGGATTTCCATCGCTAAGCGATGCAGTCATGTGACGTTTCGCTTTACGACTGCATCGCTTAGCAATGGAAATTCCAGTCCCAACTGTGGTTCTACGTCGAGGACTACCTGCATTGGCCCAATGGCATCTTTGCCAATCAGATAAATTGAAAACACCTTCATCAAATGGTAACCTCAATTTAGCTAAAGAAAGCCTTGGAGGTCCATATCCCAAATAAATTTCCTAAATAACTTATCAATCCATAAGACATATTTGTTTGATATTAACATAGGGAATACCTCTAAGAACATAAATCAAATGAGGGACAATATTCATTTTAGTAACATTAACTTTGTCCCACAAGCTGAAAGGAATTTTAAGCCATCTATTAACATCCAGTTCAATCCGTTCTAAAAGTTTCAACATATTTATTTCCACATATAGAAATATTTTGAGTATATAAAGCCCCACATATTTAATATAATCAGTAAAAATCACAAAACCCATATCTTTATTGTATTGATATATTAGGGCCCAGAGGAAGCAAACAAGATTTTTCCCAATTTATCTTATAACCAGGATACTTTCCAAAATACTGCATAACCTGTACAAAATTAGGCAAAGAAGTAGAGTACTCATCTAAAATTGCCAAAATATCATCAGCATACAGGAATAATTAGTACTCACACCCTGCCAATGTAACACCCTTAATATCTAAGTGATTGCCTTACCATTATGGCCAAAGGTTCAAGAATCAAATTAAATAGCAAAAGAGAGAAAGTGGGCATGTACCACATGGTAACTGAAAAGAGTCTGAAATCATTTGATTTGTTATTGCTCTGGCACAAGGTTGCAGATAACAAATCTCAATCCACTGGATAAAATCCCATGGAAAACCATATCTAATCATCATTTGCTTTGAAAATTTAATCTGAACCAAATCAAAGGCTTTTTCTGCATCTAAAGATACTAATACTGCAGTCTATTCTATCCTTGGTTATATCCATTTTATCAAGTAGTAACCATAAATTATCTGATGCCTGACAATTTTTGATAAACCCTGCCATTCTAATAATCTGCTTAAGTTGCACATCCTCAGCAAAGATTTTTGGGAAATTTCCACTGACTTCATTATACATATCTGAAATTGTATACCATTTCCCAAAACAAATTTCAAAGAGGATGTGACTAAAATCTTTACTCCAGTTTTTTTCTTTTCATTTTCTCAACCAAAAGTACTTGGTTCTTTCTTTTCTTTTTCAGACATAATTTAAAATGGCAATTTTATAGTTTAATATTATGCATGTCTATTCAGAAGTAAGCCCTATTAAGTACAGTGAGAACAAGTGAGACTTAGTGCTGGCTCCAATTTTAATTTGAAGAACATTCCTCAATGTGCCCTGGGTAAACAGTCTTACCTATGGGTACTCAGACATAAGCTCAGTTAAATTCAACAATCTTTCTCTGAAGTAAGTGTGCCAGTTTTCATAGCTTTAATGGCATGGTAGGAATTTTAAGCATAAGCAGGGAAAACACATTCCTTTCTTCCCTTTTACTCACATAAGTCAACTCAAGTAAAACATGCTTGCAATTTGTTATGTTGGATGGGTAAAATGTAATTTCATTATCATATTATGCAGAAAACACATAGAGAAGTAATGAGCATCTATATTGCTGACCAAGATAATGCTTCTATTGAAAATAAATGACAGAATTCTACTTTTTTACTATCTGCTGCCACCTTATCTAGTGACTGATTTCTCTTAATATTTCCTCTTATTGTTTGATACGATATGTATTGTAGCTGAGAAATCCTTTGAAAGAAGCCTGTTGGAATGCATGGGAGTGCATACAAAAAAATCAAATTTGAAATTGTTAAGGCAGCCACATCTTTTTCCAGGCTTGCATGGCTGCTTCCGGCTGTCTCCACATGTGCTAGGCAAAATGGTTGTGTGTGCACACACAGACAGAGATAGCGAGGAGCAACTTCCAAAGAAGCTGCATGAACCTGAAGAAAGAAGCCATTACTTTAACATTTCAAGAGATAGGCTTTGTACACCTTCCCATGTGTCCTGAAGCACCTCTTTCAAAGGATTTTCACAGCCCTGATACATACCGTATGTCCCTCATCATCTCTCTTATGCTCACTGAATTAAATACGTATTTTCATGGCTTCAATAATTATCCCCCAAATTTGTTTATGAATGTTCACCTTCTGAAAACTGCTTTGTTTAGAATGAGTTGTTAAAAAGCTTGCAATGCAGTCAGAAGAAAGCAAAAGAAAAGTCATTCTTACTAACAATATGTGCTCCAGTTTCCACCTTTTCTGTCACAGAATACCAAACATATTTTCAGGAAGATAAAGCATTTTAAGTCGAGCATGATCATTATTGCTTTATCTTTAATAATCAGAATAGTAGCTGTACAAAATACCAAAATTGCAGCCATAAAAATGACAATGGTAGAAAATAGTTGAGAATAACTAATAACACTACCCAATTTAAACCAAGGTGAATCATCCAAAGATTGGCTGAAAGAGCCAGGTGTGGCCAAAGACCATGAAAAATAGAACAGAGGTTAGCAACGCTGTGCCTGTAAATACCATAGTATCTATGACACCACAAATGATAACCACTGAACCTGCAACATTCTAAATGACATGATCAGTATATTGCATCTCAAATTGTGCCCCAGAATTAAATAAAAGGTGTTTTTAAAAATTAAATGGCCAAAATCTTCAAGTATTACTTTATTGATTGATTGGTTTGATATGGTATGATTTCTCCAGGATCTTAAGGCAGCTTCATTTTTTTCCTTACAAGAAGAACCCTATCTATAAGGTAGCTTGGGCTGTCTGAAAGTTATGGTCCAAAGTCTTCCAGTAAGCTGGCCCAGGGTAGACTTCAAATTGGTCTACCCAGTCTTAGTCCAATACCTTTATGCAGTGGTCTCAAACTTATAGCCCTCCAAGTCAATTTTTGTGACCTACAGCAATACTTGCTAAGCACCAAGGATGTTGGCCAGCATCCTTGCATGCTTGCAGTGCTGCAGAGAAATGCAAGTTGGGCCATAGGAAACACTCCTCGAAGAGGAATGGCATGATAGCTTGCCTCGGCCCAACCTAGCAGATCTCCCAGCAACAATGGGTTATGGATGGCCAGGATACATGATTGGTACCCCAATGTCTCTCCCACTGAGTTTCACCCTCCAGGAATATCCAACCTATACTTGCACTCCTTGGCAGGCAGAGGAACAGGCCAGTAAGGCTTAGTCGGGGAAGATGGACAGGAGGCTGGGGTTGTCTAACGAAAGTAAACAGAAGGCAGCTGAGGTAAAGGGCTGGGTCTACTGGACAGAGAGAGGTAAAGACAGGCAAGCAAGCATGCAAGGTCTGAGGAAGGAAGGAAGGAAGGAAGGAAGGAAGGAAGGAAG